TTCCGCCATCTTCGCCATTGTCGGGTACTTCCATAGGCAGAGCTGGTTTTGGCTATACCCATGGGAGCTGAGGATCTCCTTCTCGTGCCTGGACCACTGAAGCGCGCAGACCTGCGAGTGAGTGTCAATACTGTTCAGGCACACGCCAGTGTGAGTGTTCCAGAACTTGATGCACCGATCTGCGGTCCCGCCGCCCGAGGCCAGCAGGTTGCCCTGGAAAGGACACCAAGCTAATGCCTTGACGGCCGCAAGGTGCTGATCGAGGCGGTGCAAATACCTGGAAGCGTTGGACTGAGCAGAGGAGATGGCCGACGCATCCCACACGTACAGCAKATTGTCATTCCCGCCGCTAGCCAGCTGCTGCCCGGAAGGCGACCATTTCAATCCACACACCTCCTGTTCATGCGCACAAAACCTGGACACTAGGTGCTCCCTGATTCTAACATCATGGTTTATGATGTTGTTGTCTCGACCACCGCTGCTGAGCAAGTGCCCGTTCCAGGCCAGACTGCCAACACGCGCACTGTGCCCGCCCATAGTCCTGATCATCTTCAATCGCGTGGCATCCCATAACTGCACATTGGTGCTGTTGAGCCCGACGGCGACGTGCCGCCCGTCCGAAGCCCACGATACGCTGGTCACGTAATCATCGGCCGCCAAGGGCTGTGTCAGCTGCTCTATCGTGCCCGTACCAGCATCCCACAGATACACAACCGCCCCAAGTGCCACCGCCACTACATTGTCCCCGCTCCAATCCAGCAGGTTAAGGTAGTAATCGTCCAGGAGATCAGGCGCATCCAATATCCTCTCTGGCGCCTGCGGAATGTGCCGAAACGAGCGCCTGGATTTCGTCGTTGAAAACCCGTTCTGGGAGTACAGCACGGCGTTCTCGAAACCCATGTCCGCAGCCGCCGCCGGCGGAGCCTTACTCTTAAACGTCAAAATTCTCGTGTGCTCGCCCACCACATTCTCATTAAGCAAATTCTCCGACAGATGCTTCTTATAATCCTCACCCTTCCCGCACGGCGACGCAAYCATCGCCCCATTCAACGAAGCACCGGACGAATTCTCCTTCGTTTCCGTCATCAGGTTCAGCCGCGCAACATCAGGATTCATCGCACTCCTGTTCGGAATGAAACGATCGCACTGCACCACAGCACGCACAAGGCACAGAATCAGCATCCATATCAAGACGACCTGTCTCCGCTTCGGCCGCGACAAAAGGAAAGAAAATGCACAAAAGAAAGAAAGCATAATCAACTGTCCTAAAAAAAAGAAAAAAAAGAAAAAAAAAACAAAGCAGACAGACAAATCCGCTTGCAGAACATGGCAGCAGACAGAAATCCGCTTGCAAGAAGAACCTGGCCTCTTTTACTGCCAGTGTTTCTTTTGGGAAGCCGTTACCTTCTCAGGGCGTAGTCACCCTAGCACCCTCCCTCCCATCATTCTGCTCTCCCTTCCTCTATCGTGCCCCCGCGCTCTCCCGTCCCTCGTCTTTTTCCCATCCCTTCACTCCGTCCGTCCTTCTCCCACCCCCACTCTCTTCACTTCGCGTTTACTCCCTCACATATCCCTCTTCCTCCTCGCCCGTCCCCTCTTCCATCTCTCTCCCTCTTCGCCAATCCCTCCCTCCCGCATTGCCGTTCCGTGCCCGTCAAACTCCTTTCCCACTTTTATGCACTTCCCATATACCTCCCCGTTCCCTCCGAGACAGAAGCAGGGTCTCATACCCGTCACCCTTTCGGCATGCCATATTCACTCCTGGCTCCCCGTCGACAAGAAACTGAGAGAAGATGAGGACAGTCAGGAAAGAAGAGCGAAGATATGAGATACCATCCAGCGACATTCGACTTACCTGCAGCATCCCCTTCGCGTTTACGCTCCTACATATCCCTCCTCACCCATCCCCCGTCTTCCATCCCTCTCCCCATTCGCCACCCCCTCGTTTCCATCCCTGTCGCTCATGCTATCACGTGCCCTCCAAACTGCGACTTATGCCCTTTTCATAGACCTTCCCTGTGCCTCCAACACGCACAATCCAACCCTCCTCACCCCTCCCGCTCCAGCTAATCACTCCTGGCTCCCCGTCGACAAGAAACTGAAAGAAGATGAGGAGAGTGAGGAAGGAAGAACGAACACACGAGATACCATCCAACGACATTCGACTCACCTGCGGCGTCCCCTTTCTGATAGGGGGTGAAGTGAGAGCTCTCTTGAGGAACGGCGACGACGGACGATCATCCATCATGCGTCTCTCGGCCGCACGCCCGGACATGCAGTTCGACTTGCGAGGCGTGCTGAAAGCCATTTTTCGCTTTCTGATTCCTCTACCAGACAGAACGAGCTCCGAAAGAACTCGTCGAACGAGATGCGCGATGGATATGGATCCCCGTCTCCCGCACAGTGGTTAACGAGTTACAAGAACATTCCTCCGCAGCGCAACAGCGAGTAAATAAATGAATCAAAAGATTCACCTGAAACAGCAAACCCGTCAATATGCACGAGCTCTCTCGGCGCCGATGGCGGAAGATCGAAACCGCGTCACAAAATTTAAAATAAAATAAAAACTCGAAAATACGTCGACAGAAATCGGAAAAAAAAAAGTAAATGAGAAAATGACATAACAAAACATGTAAAGATAAAAGAATGTTCTGTGAAGAATAATAATAAAAAAAAAAAGAATCAATTTGAATGCAAATCCATCGCACGACAAATGAAGAGAATCGAAAAACAAACTCAACAGGAAAAAAACAAAAAACCAAAAAAACAGACTACACAATGAAGTAATCAATGAGTAAAGATGCCGTCACATCAGATATGCAGAGAGAAAGGTACCGAGACGAAATCAAACGCAAAACCGACAGATTGAGGACGACCAGCGAAGTAGAACCACTGGCCAGCCAACTGACATCCAAGATGAGTTAAACGACCATGAATAAGAAACAAATGGGAGGATTCCACAATGGAGCAGATTGTGCAGCAGACGAGAATGAATGAGTGCAAATGAATGTCCAGAAAATAATGACGAGTAAAATTCAGATTGAGATATGGTCAGAGTCCAAGTGATAGTTTAGCAAATAGTTAGGATGAGGAGAAAGGTTATTGTATGGTCGAAGATGATAGATGAAACACATCCGTGAAAAAAAGATGAACACAACAAGCAATGAGCACAGTAGCTTCCCGGAAATTCACCCAAAGAAGCAGTCGGAAAGAACTCCTGAAGACCAATTTTTCCAAGGGCTTCCAGTAGTTCCTGTACATAGATACCGATTGTTTGAAGCAACCCCCCCCAATTTCCACGTCGTCCCCCTCCGTCTTTCCTCGTCCGCTCCTTCCGCCCCAGCGCAGCCCAAACGCAATAGAAAATGATACCGGTATTCACCACCAATCAGGCGTTCGCTCTGTGCATGCAACAACGTCAGGCAACTCCGTATTGACTCGATAATCGTATAGTAGAACGCAAGCATCTAACAGAAGCAACAGAGCGAATGTCGCAACGCGATCGTCTTCCAGGAAGAGCGAATGGTAACCAACTTCCAAAAGATCCCGAGTACAAGTTGTGATCTCTGAGTGTCAAAGCAGAATGTGTATGCCTCTACCGTGCCTAGGGAACTGCAATGTATACTCAACTGCACAAGGCACAAAGTGGCAGCCGGGCAGGCTACGTCGCCGGCGTCGCATCGAACCGCTCAGACAGGCACGAGGCGGCAAGGACCGGCGCCTGCGCACACCAGGTGAGAGGTACGGGTGAGCACGTTGGACCTCTCTCCCAGCCCGTAGGGGGTTCGGAGGGTGGCAAGAGGGGGCCAACGGACCGCGCCAATTGGCCCCTAAAACAACGAAGGCGACGCGCGCGGTAGCAAAAGCCGCCGGCGCCACCTCCCGCCAAGACGGACAAGCAGGGAGAGCGGAGAACGGCGGGAGGAGAGAAAAACGAAAACAAACGAAAACAAGAGAACAACGGTTAGAAACACGTCCGCGGCGGAGATTTACGCGTTGAGTTCATTGGGAGATCGGATGTGATCGCATGGCTGTAGATTGATCTCGCGCTGGATCTCTCCCGCCTACCCTCCCGCAGTTAGCTACAACGGACGAAGATCGGCCTTAGGCGATCTGACGGCCACCAATCCACCGGGCCTATCCCATCCAGTCGTGGAAGACACATTTTACCGTTCGCACGGCTTCCAGGACACGGCGCATTCATTGGTTTCTGGAGCTTTCCTCTCAAATGCATCCTTTTTTTGGTGGAATATTTGCGAAATACACCCATAAGTTGAGATATATGCCAAAATGCTCCTGAAAGATGTGGGTGGAGCGGAATGCCCTTTTGGGCCGAATTCCTTGTGTTATGCCCCTGTCAGGCAGGTGTGCAAATCTGGACCTTGCCGTTTGGGCATGGCCTTTTGCAACTGTGCAAATTTGCGATCTGGTCCTTGCCGTTCTGGGTATTTTGCAAAGTTGGATGGTACCCGGCAGGGTTATATCACAAAGATGGGGGGTACAACCAACGCGAGGGGTATTTCACAAATTTTTCTATTCGTCAGAGGGGCATTCCGATCTACCCACATCTTTCAGGGGCTTTTTTTTTTCTTTTTTTTTTCTTTTTTTTTTTCTCACAAGCGACTAAATCCATTATAAAAGGAACACAATGGTGGCGAGGGACCTCACAATTCTACCCGGGGTACTGACAGCATCAGCCAGCTTAGCTTACAGGCTCTTGCCTGCGGAAAGTTATCTCTACCAACCTTCCTAATGTCACAACGTACCAACTAAAAATGAGTGTAGACTATCACCTTTATCAGCTCATTTGCTTTCTTTGTGCTAGTAATGGGATTTCTTCCAGGGCTTTGCATGTAGAGTGCTTGCCTTTCCTTTGTCTGCTAGACACAGTCTGCTAGCGTTGGGACTAAGAGTCAGATCCCACCTCTATTCTTTTTGGAAAGACACGAAAAAGAACGGTTTTGTAGGGCCCGTTCCGGGCGGACCATAAAAGAGAAATGGGATCCCACCAGTCCACGATATTCGGTTCTTTTTCAGGATTTGCGCCGGAAATGTATGGGCGTGACAATAGACCTACTTCCCGAAGTCGTCCACCCGGACA